CAACATCAACGTTCAGAAAAGGATTCTCATCAACCCCCATGGAGTAATCTTTGGATGCAAGTTCAGCAACCGTCGGGAGCTTATGCCCTTGCGGCAGCTTATGCCCTTGCGGCAGCTTAATATGTCTTGACTTTTTCAGATAATCAAAGATTTCATTTGCTTTAGTCACATCAAATGTGTATTGTCTCCCAGATTTATACGAGAGACGCTTTGCAGCCGCCTCAACTTGTTGAGTGACTTTCACTAGATTAGGACAAGTTACTGGCTTGTCTGCAAAGACCTCGGCAACATCAAGGTCAAAAGCATCTTGATAATAAGTTCCTTGCGATGCTGCCTTTCTTTGGGATTCCTCTCTTAAAAGGTTCTCATAACGTGCCACCTTATAAGAGAGCTCAAAGAAGTCTCTGAATTCCATCCCCTCAAACTTCTTTCGAAGTTCAATGTCTAAACCATTTTGAGCAAGCTTCACGAACTCTTGCTCTGGTAAGGCAACATGACACTTCATCCAGGCTTTTCTAAACCGCATAAGATAATTTTCAGAAGATTCCCCTGGCCATTGAGTTAGTCTAGAAAGATCAGCCATGGATATCTCAGGCTCTGAGCAGTAGAATTGAATATGAAACAAATCTTCCATTTGTCTCCACGTAAACACAGAATTTTGCGACAGGCTTAGGTACCATGTCAATGCAGTACCAGTTAAAGAACTTGGGAAGAGTCTCAACTTCAAAAAATCATCACACGATGCCTCCCCACATTGAATAGTGAACCTACCAATGTGTTCAATGGTTGACTGGCTTGCGTCCCCAGAAAACAAAGTAAATTCAGGCACTTTGAATCCACGAGGAAATGGATTATCCCGATCTATGTAATCTGGATACGGCTTGTGATAGGAAGGACGAACCAATGGTCTCAGAGCTAGACCATATGTCTCCTGGACTAGATCAATTAGTTGATTTCTATCCAAGGGAGAAGCTGCTGCTTGTAGCCCTAGTGGTTGAAAAACATTATTCTGCAAATTGGGCTGTGGGACAGCATTTGGATGCCGTGCAGGGGTACATATCTTTGTTGATTGGCATTGAACTGCTCAGCTGCACGGAATGCTGCTTCCACAGGATCTTGTGGTCCAAAGATGCCACCAGCAGGATTGTTTTGCTGCTGCCTATTGAACTGCACCTGGCCAGCACCAAGAGCATTATTTTGAGCATTGGGCATTTGCTGCACCACCCGTGGCTGATTAATATGCCCCCCATGCCCCCCGGGCAAAGGATCTGGAAGATTTTGCTGTGGCAATTCCATTGCTGGAGGTACGGGTTGCCTTGGAACATTTTGCTGTTGTCGAACATGTTCCATGGTTCTCTTAGAAACTGCAGTGAAGGTTCTGCGACTTTCTGCTACATCTTCTCGAATGGCTCGAGAACTTTCATTAATGGCCCTTTCAATAGTATTCATATATCGAGTGAACTGATCTGACTGTTGTTGTTGGGCTTAAAGAAAGCTTTCTAGACTACGCTTTATGTTCTGATTAACTTCTTCTTGCAGCCTCCTTATCTCCTGAAGTTCTTGAGATATTTTATTGCTTGACTCAACAGAATCAACCTTTTCCTCATCATCCTTGTGATATATGGGATTGCCATATGAGCGATCAGCCAAGGGAGAAATAGGCAGAAGATGCTCCGAACTATTTTCACCCTCAGAATGTCTTGAACTCATAGGAGCAATTTCCACTTGCTGTGCAACTTCTTTTCCAACTCTCCTAGGCATGGCTATGGCTGCTTTATGCCCAGGAAAAGCAAAGAGTGGATCAAAAAACGTTTCTTGATACAC